TGTTCAACTCTTTTGCAACCCCATGGACTTTAGCCCACCAGGCTCCTCTGTTGATGGGACCTTCCAGACAAGAATACTGGAGTGGGTTGCCATTTCCTTCTCTAGGGGATGTGCCCGACCCAGAGATTGAACCCATGTTTTTTGCACTGGCAGCTGGATTCTTTACCACTGAGCTACCTAGGAAGCCCAAAAAGAAGCATATAATCTCCCAATTACGTAGCAAAAAATAATTAAGGAAAAAAAGAAGTAAATCACTAGCACAATAGTACTTCTGGGGTCTAACGTTATATTTTTGCATGCAACATTATCAGATCTAACTTGCCAACAATTTCATGAGATAGGTATGTTGCTGCTGCTGCTAAGTCGTTTCAGTCGTGTCCAACTCTGTACGACCCCATAGACGGCAGTCCACCAAGCTCCCCGGTCCCTGGGATTCTCCAGGCAAGAACACTGGAGTGGGTTGCCATTTCCTTCTCCAATGCATGAAAGGGAAAAGTGAAAGTGAAGTCGCTCAGTCATGTCCGACTCTTAGCGACCCCATGGACTGCAGCCCACCAGGCTCCTCCGTCCATGGGATTTTCCAGGCAAGAGTACTGGAGTGGGGTGCCATTGCCTTCTCCGGAGATAGGTATAATTATTCCCAATTTATATATAAGGAAACTTAAGGTATGTCCTAAACTTAGAGAGATTCCTTTTTTTTTTTTTGAGAGATTCCTTTAATATCAAGTGGCAGAGCTAAAATCCACGTTACTTTAACTAATTCTAAGGCTATATTTCTTTCCCTTAGGACAAAAAAAAAAAAGCTGCCCCAATGAAACTGTGTACCTTAAGTGAGAGTGACAAAGATATTACATATCACTCCACCCTTTTATATCACCCGTGAACCAGGGTACCATGGTACCCTGGGTATGGTACTAGGGTAGTGAAGTAAGGATGTAGGTGTGGGAAGTTAGGATGCTAGATAAGTTCTATACAGTCTTTGACTGAAAGTACCACACATTTCTGGGGGATTCCCATGTGGCTCAGTGGGAAAGAATCTGCTTGCCAATGCGAGATGTGTGAGTTCGACCTCTGGGTCAGGAAGATCCCCTGGAGGAGAAAATGGCAACCCATTCCACTATTCTTGCCCGGGAAATCCCATGGACAGAGGAGTCTGGAGGGCTGCAGTCCATGGGGTCACACAAATTACTTCTTAATTGGGTTAAAAAAAACAGTAGCATCAGCGGCCACACTCTGGATTGCACCTGTGTAGAAAGACAGGATGTCATCCTAAGCAGTTTCGAAAATTACACACAACCATGCATGCACACTCCCCAGAACCTTTGACCAGGCAAGACCAAACTGACCCTCACTCCATATGGCCAAATACCTCTGCCTCTCCTAGGATTTTATATACAAAGCATACAAGGTGTTACTAGCCAATAAAATAAACACTAATGATTAACTTTTGCTCCCTGGAAGTCACTGAACAAGAAAGAGGTATTCCCTGAATAGCCTCTGCCTACAGAGCACTGGCTGTTCCCAAGTTCTCCAAAGAAGCTTGAAAAGTATTTGCCATTATGAGTTAGTCTTGGAGCTAAAATATACACATGACACTGAAGGGGTCCGTTCCTGGGTTGAAATGTTTACTTTGGTTCAAAACTTACCCTGAAAATATATGTTTTACCTAGCTTTTGCTTCTGAAACACCTCCAGTATGAACAGTGACCAAACTCTCTTTGATTCTAGATATCTGGAACTGGCTTTATTACAGGACCAGGTTCTTTGCTAGGCACTGGAGACACACAGCCCTTAGGGAAGAAAGGCAGATAAATTAAGACCTCAAAGAGAAATAGGAGTTTAAACCCGCTCAGATGAGAACTATCAAGAGCTGTGAGGAACTGCTGAGCTCAAATCCCAGACTGAAAACAAGCCCAGAGAGGTGAGCTTGTTTCCCCAGTGGTCAGCTGATTCCAGCTTCAGCAAGTATAATATTGAGAAGCTGAACAGAACTTTGTATAGACTCATGGACCAAGGAAACAATTGGAGCTTAGGGCGTTCATGGTGGCTCAGCTGGTAAAGAATCTGACTGCAATGCGGGAGACCTGGGTTTGATCCCTAGATTGGGAAGATGCCCTGGAGAAGGGAAAGGCTACCCACTCCAGTATTCTGGCTTGGAGAATTCCATGGACTATACAGTACATGGGGTCACAAAGAATCGGACACAACTGAGCAACTTGCACGGGGCCCTCCAAGGAAGAAGAGTTGTGGAAACCCCCTAGCCTGCTGGCTGGCACCCTGAAGAGCTGTACACATCTAGCCCTCACAGGGACTGAAGCTGAGCTTCAAATCACCTCAATTACTAGCTAGAATAGCTAAGATGATATGTAAGTTTCCAGAAGCAAAGATAAGCCTGCTCCAGAGAAAGAGTCCACTCTCTAGATCTCAGATAATCTCTACAGCTTATCTCACACAATGTCTGGTACTCAATCAAAAATACTGGAGCATGTGAGAAAATAAGATGTAACCAAAACTCAAGAATGACACACAACGGAAGCAGGTCAACAGGGTGGCATGCTATGAGAGTTACCAGATACAGACTTTAATATAGGATGACTAAATATAAACTCATATATAAAGAATGGATAAACAACAGTATAGCACAGGGAACTGTATTCACTGTCCCGTGATAACCATAATGGAAAAGCATATGAAAAAGAATGTGTGTATATGAATATATATAAAGTATGCATATATACATACATATGAAAAAGAATGTATGTGTGTGTAAATATATACATAAACTGAATCACTAGGCAGTACAGCAGAAATTAATATACTGTAAATCAATTCTACTTCAATAAAATAAAAATATATGTATATATATGTAATGACTAAGAAACCACAGTGAGACAGCACTATACACAGACCAGAAAAGCTTAAATTAAAAATACAGACCATTATCAAGTGGTGACAGAATAGTTTTCGTTCTTTTTCTTTGGTTAAAAGAAAGACAGTAAATACAATAAGCTGTCAATATATGTTAAATATGTATCGTAACGGCAGATACATAGGTCTCTGTTATGCTATCTTCTGAACTTTTGTAATGTTTCAAAATGAAACACTGAAAGGAAGAAAAAGCTATGGTCATTGAGCGATCAGCAACGGCTAAATTATTTTAGCCTTCAGAAGTCATGTTCAAGAGTCTGTACTTTGTTTATTCTTTAAACAGAGGAGTGAAAGCGTTAAACGTATTCTCTATAAAGATCATTCCAGCTGCAACAGAGCAGAAAGAATGAAGCGAGGGAGCCCAAATGGGAGACTGATGCAGTAACACAGACGAGAGACGACAGTGGTGCTGGTTGTAAAGATCTGAAGGATAGAGTCTGCGTTTGCAAGGGAATCGGGGTTCAGTCCTCCAAACTGGTGAACCAAATCCCAGTCAAACCAGGAAGCAAATGAGGCCTTTGTGACAGAAACCTACAAGGCTAACGATTTATAGAGCAAAGACAACATCCACGATCAGAGCCTGGGACTCTGAAAACAAGAATATATGGATTTTTCTGTAAATCCTTAGAAGCAACACAAGCAATTATAAAACTGAAAGCTAATAAGCACTCAGCTCGACAACAGATGGTCACAGAAATACATTCACAACTTGCCAGAATTTTGAAGCCTGGTGCACCCTTTCCAAACATGCAGATGCTTTCATCTAAGGGGAGAAAAAAATTCTATTTCTGCTTCTGACAGCAAACGCCAAGTCACATTGTGCCAGTAGAGAATGGCATCTCCCAACCTCAAACCCACCGAAAATTTCATAACCTTATTCTCATGTTGGAGAGATGGGTTGCCTTTGACCACAAATTCCACAAGCTCTGCCAAGGAAAACTAGGAGGAAGTGACCATTTCTGAAGATATCAGCTTTTTCATCTGTCCCCAAGAAAGGAGATTTCTGTCTATAGATTATTCATGAGCAATTCATGTGTTATTCTGTGAAGAAAAATCAAGCATATCACACAAATTTATGCCCAAATTCTGAAGGAAAAAAAAAAAAAAAAGGCCCGAGGCACAGAGTCTGACAATTTCTTCAACTACTCTGAGCTGTTTAACCTTTCACTGAGAAGAGATCAAAGAACTGTCTTTATCATTACCTTTTGTCAGTTTTCAAGAGGTTAAGGTTTAAAATTAAGCATATCAAGTTCCCAGTCTAGCTAGTTTGGGTATAAATATATCTTCCTGGATCTGACTTATGACTGTCTAGTTTGCTAGAGATGGGATTTTTAAATGGCATCCCCCCCAATCTGTTCACACAAGAAATACTCAGACATGTTCTTTTTAAAGGAAGTACTTCCCACCTGCACACCTAATTCTTATAGTGTCTAAATTATTATATATGCTGAGAGAGCTTGGCTTTAGAGGCAGAGTAGCCCACTAGCTGCAGTTAATCGTACTCCCATGCCAGAGAAGGTAAAATTTAACTTAGTTTTGCTACATTCCCAAGGTTTATGAACTGACATACTGTGGAGTTCAGGAAATAATCATCAAATGACTCAACTTCCTGATTCAACATTCACCCAGAAAACATCCTTCTCATGTTCTCCAAACAATGTTCTTCAATCAAAATTTCAGCCAATGAAAACTCAGGCCATTAGCAACACGATAAATACCACCTACCAGATCTCAATAGTTATTAATGAACATTAATGAATTTTGCTAGTTATTTATACATCTCATCACGTTGATCACATTTATGAGGCTGAATATAATTTCTACAATTAAAGGCAGACTTCCTCAAATCATTATCACTGTAACGATCCAGCAGCATATAAAATGTCCACAAACATTTCTTCACAATGCCTTAAGGTTGAAAAAAAAAAAAGATGTGCTTAATATTCCTTGGGGAAATTCCAAGATTAATTTCAATAGTACATAAATAGCCAAAACACACGAAATTCCTACCATAATCTGCCCAAAGGATGGGTGTAACCTTTTCATAATACATATTCTGAGACTAATACTCACTGGGTTAATCGTTTCTTCAACAGAATGGTGAACAGTCCACCAGTCTGAAGTCCACTCCCAGGCGTTCCCTACTATATTGTATAAGCCATAACCATTGGGAGGAAAGGCGTCAACCTAAAAATTAAAAAAAGGGGGAAATGTTGTCAATCTGCTCACCTTGTCTAGAAAGCCTCTTTAGTATAAAAATGCACAAAGACCTCTTACTTCAAAGTATGAATGTGAATTTTCATTCCAACAGTGAAAATACAATCTGACCAATATAAAAACAGAGGAAGATACTTTTCAGCTTTGAGTTCTCAAAGAGAGTTCAGAAACCTAAGAAGAGTTTATGTTACATGGTAAGAAAGTCAATGAACTAATTCTTAATAGAGAGACTAGTATTGATCATAAGTCAAATCTGTATTTCATTGAGAAGTGGCAGGTAAATTACCTGGGGACTTTCAGAAGCATAAGAGAAATGGCGTTATAGCCACTATCAGTCTTGTCATCACAGCTGGGCTCTGCCGGCCACAACATCTTTAGGCACAGACAGGCCTCAAGCCAATTCTGTCCTCTCCACCAGCCCCCTCCAACTCACCAGTTTATCTTTAAGCCTGAGTCATTATTGTCAAAACACTGATGGGACTTCTTATAGAGAAACTGTGAATTCATTATCAAGTGCTATCTATAAAACAAAGAAAGTTTGCAATCCCTGGGACCTGGAAGCATGAGGCAAGCTGCACAGGCTCTTCAGCCAGCAATTACATCACATTTCAAAGGTAGATCAGACAGTCTGCCACATAATTATGTCACAGACACGGTACCAAAGTGTAGAGCTTGTGTACAAAGGAAGGTAGGGAGGAGGACCAGAGAAAAACCTTTGACTGAATTGTAAATGCATACAGAACAAGTTTTGCTATTTTAAGGACTCAAAACTTTTTCCTAACATATTTTATGAGAAATGCTATACATGAAGGAAACTTTTATTTTTTAAGTGAAAAAAAATAAAGATATAGTTGAGGTTCTTTTTAAAAAATCTTTTTGAAAAAAAAATCTTTTTCTAAGTTCATGTTTTTTCTCAATTAATGAAGTAGAACTAAAACGAATAAAATTAATTTCCTACTTGACTTCAAAAGGTTTTAGATCTACACATAAATATGGAACCATCTGATATGTGGACAATCCAGGGCATTTCAATAAAGTTATGATGCTACTCCGAAAAAAACTTAATCCAGATGATGGGGAAAGCTGAAAATTTTTACCACTCTGCTTCCAAACTCAGCATTCATTATGGAAACAGCAGTACCTATTCACTGCTTCATTCAGTAATTCCATGCATGTCGACTGAAGGCAGAAAGGGTTTGATGACATAGACGTGAAAGAGTTTTAATGAGGGAGAAAAGAATGATGATGCCAAAAATTAAAAACATCCAATCTAGAAAGGCAGGGTGGGATTAGTAGGGTAAGAGAATGAAAGAAAATATGCAGAAACTCCCTAGAGGGAGAGATTTCAAGCTAAAGATGAACCCTCCTCCACAAAGGTAGAAGCATCTTATGAGAATCAAGGTCAGAGGTTAAAGGTCAGAGAGACAGTGAAGGAGAAGGGGTCAGAGGCATAAACTGTTCTTTCAAGAATTTGGAGATAATGAAGAAGAATAAGACAGAAAAATAGCTGGAAGGAAAAGAAGAAAATAATTTGTTTCAGTGAAAAGATGGAAAGGAGCAAGGGGCATGAGAGCAACTGAAAGATGGAATGAACGAAGTGGAGAAGTGGAGGGAGGAACCATTTCTCAGACTTAAGAGAGCAGACTAATGAAGGTCAGCCAGTCTAAGGTCCTCTTTACATGAAAACACACAACAAACGCTGGGCAAGCAAGTTAGCCTATGTGGTGCTGTTAAACCCTAAGATGAGAAAACATTAATAACAGCACCTACTGAAAGGTTTGAGGGGTTTTCCTTCTGTAAACAACTGGATGCTTAAGTGAGATAAAATCTGGAGGTCACCACTCCCAAAATTACCACGAGAATATAAAAATTTTAACTGCTCTTTGTTCAGTTAGTCACACCAACCAAAACTTCCTTCCAGAAAGCTCAGAAGAAAATACTTCCAACATGTTTATTGTCAGGGGAATGAGCAGATATGTATGAAAGCCAAAACATACTGATAACTTACAACAGAAGCCTAATCAAACAGAAAACCAATTCTTTAGGTTCACTGCGGTCAGAATAGTTCACTCAATTTAAAACTAATGAGTGAAACTAATAAAATAAAACAGCAGATGAGGGAGCTATTTCACTGTAGTCCATCCCATCATTGGAAGTTCGATTCCTGCTCTCCAGGGACCAAGGCCTGTGGCCACAAGGAAGCTAACGAGGACCCGAGAAAAATAGTCCCGCTTTAAAGGTAGAAATCTTCTGTCAAGTCTCATTCCAAACAAAGGTGGACGTGACCTCTCTACAATGTGTTGGTTTTTCTTCTCTTCAGGTAATATTTCTCATGTCGGCTCCTGGCAAATGTTCTAATTTTATCTTAGGAACTTCCATGGCAACTTCTTCAGGTAAGTTCTGTTGAATATCCTCCAACGCAGACATCTGCTAAACATCCCCAGTTAAATGTTCCAACTCTAAATATCTGTAAAGTATCCTTATTTCATATGGAAATTGTTATTTTCTGAGAAGATGCACTGACATGAGACTAAATGATTTCTTCCTTGGAGGTTCATCTTTCTAAAGAGTGATGTGAAATTCTGTGGCCATTAAGTGCTGTAAAACATTCATAACTGTTCAATACAGATTCTCATGGTCTGTTACAACTGACAGGTGCTTATGTCATTTGCCTGGGTCTATCAGAAGCCTATGCTATATGTGCTTCAAGGCTAAGTGTCCTGCTTCTGCATCACGTGTCACCTTTCCTGGGGTCTCCTAAGCATCTTCATCAAGCTCCTTATGGTGTTTATCCTGCAGCACAGGTTCTGCTGACCAACAGTGGCCCATGAGATAAGAGCTGGCCTTCTTACCCATGTACAGTTTGAGAAAAAGGTTGAGATCTCTCAGACCCCAAGGTCTCTAATCACTCATTTTACTGAATAAAACTATGTGCCCCTGAGAGCACAAGCTATCCAGAAGGAAACCTGAAAAGAACCAACTTCACTTTGCTGTATAGTAGCAAATAAATTTTGCCTCTGTTGAAAAATATATCCAATTCCCACTGGTTTGTGTTGGTGCTTTTATCATATACCTCATACATATGAAATTTTAAAAGCACACACATGTGAGTTCCTATGCCTATTTAAAGGCAACATATTCTCATGCAATTTTTTTTACATTGCTTCTGCACCCCTGCAAAAACAACTGTAATGCTTTAACTATATGGCTTAAAGTATGTTTCAGGTTCTGAAAAGTCAAGTGTCTTCTCACCCCTCATCTCTTCCAAAAATTGTCTGTCTTTCTCACTTGTTTATTATTTCAGTTGAAATTCTGGAATCATTTGGTCATGCTCCAAATAACATATGTGTGTTACATTTATAAACAAATTTTGGAAGAATTATTTTTGTGTGAACAAATATTAAGAACACAAACATGTTTTAAAATGACAACTGTTTGAAAGATTGTTGAAAGAATATTATCCTCTGTAACAACAAATTCAGTAAGGTGCTATTTCCCTACCACAAGACATCTTTGCTCAATGTGTCAAGAAAAAACAAAACGCTTTTATCATTGCTTCATTAGTGTATGGTTCTGCTGACAAAAAAAGCAGAGAGAAAGGAATACTCATGGAGGGAAACATGCTACATGCGTTCCAGAAAACAGTTTCATTATGTATCTGAAACTCTTACCAAGTATTTCTGGTCTTTGACTCACTAATTTCACTGCTAGGAATCTACCTTTTAAAAATCACCACACTATTAAGGATCTACTGTATTGCTCAGAGAACTCTACTCAATACACAGAATTGATCTGTATGGGAAAAGAATCTAAAAACAGAGCAGATAAATGCATATGTGTAACTGATTCACTTCACTGTATAGTAGAAACTAACACAACATTATAAATCAACTATGCCTCAATAAAAAATTTTTTTAAATCATCAGAGAGAAAATTTTATATTTATGCACTGCTGCTGCTGCTGCTAAGTCGCTTCAGTCGTGTCCAACTCTGTGCTGTGACCACATGGACGGCAGCCCACCAGGCTCCCCTGTCCCTGGGATTCTCCAGGCAAGAACACTGGAGTGGGTTGCTATTTCCTTCTCCAATGCATGAAAGTGAAAAGTGAAAGTGAAGTCGCTCAGTTGTTTCCAATTCCTAGCGACCCCATGGACTGTAGCCTACCAGGCTCCTCTGTCCATGGGATTTTCCAGGCAAGAGTACTGGAGTGAGTCGCCATTGCCTTCTCCAATTTATGCACAAGATGTTGTTATTTAGCAAAAAAACAGATGTAACTTTGCAAAAATAAGAGGCAAATAAATTAGGGTTAATTCAAATGACAAGCTATCCAGCTGCTAAAAGACATGTATTTGTGAAGAACTGCTAACACCAGACAAAATGTTCCTGATATTACACAGGGAAAAAAGAGTAGGATTTTAAATATAATGGTATGATCCCAAAGCAATATGTAAAAAATATATAGGTACACAAACACGAGAAACATTACACTGGCACCTATGGTAGTTAAGAGCATGGGCTTTAGAAACAAACCAACCTGGTCCAAATCCCAGATGTGTGGCTTTCCAGTTGTGTAACCCTGGGCAAGTTAGTTAACCTCTCTGTGCCTCAGAATGCTCACCTGAAAAAATGGGGATAACAGTACCTACCTTACAGAGTGGAACATTAACTGAGATAATTCATGCAAATACCTCAGTATCATGCCTGGCACACTACAAGTATGAACTTCTAGCAATTATTAGTATCATTAATACCGAAAATGAATGGGAGGAATTCCACCAAAATGCTAATAGGGATTATCTATCTTGGGTGGTAAGATGCCACGTTCTTTCAATTTTCTCCTTTGCAACTCTTCTGGTTTTTTTCAAAGTTTCTATAGCATTATAGAATCAGAAAGAAAAACGTGTCACGAAAAAGATCGTCTCAGTATTAGTATTTGCCACGTGCGCTAGTGGATGAAGGCAGGAAGGATACAAGACGTAGAGCAGAGAGTGAGCAACACGCTCCCTCAATTCTAGCGGTTTCTAGCGGTTTCTCCGTGCGCTGGGGCTGCAGCCCTCTGAACCTCGCTACTCACAGGCGCGGTCCCTCGGAAGCCGTCCTCCGCGGTGTTGGTCACAGGAAACTCGCCCTGCCAGATGTTGGCATAATGTTGGCCTTTGGGCTGCAGTTTGTTGCCCCAGGGGAAAAGTCTGTCAGAAGAGACACAAACATCAGCCTGTCAAACATACACAGGTTTCTGGACACAAGTCAAGAAGAGGAAAGCAGTGAAAGGGAGAGAGCACACTGCTCGCTTGTTCCAAGTGAGTTATTTTATTTTTTTAATACAAAAGGCTTTTAATCAGGAATTTTTTTTTAACTTCTACACAACCAGATCATGTCAAGCTCACAACAACCTCAGTCTCTCCCGAGGCCTCAGGAGGTCTGATATAAATCACCTCACTAAAAGAGGGGCTTACAGGAGAGCAGCCATCATTCTGGTCATATACGGAAGCGTAACGGGGCATCATCACACCGCACTTTTTTATAAAGCCTTCACTATTTTAAGGAGCCTTTCCTAGAAGCTGAGACCCAATCGTGAGTTTTCTGTATAATGGCTCTGAAAGCAGAGAAATACTGAGGTTTCAGGAGACGCCTAAAAGCGAAGGCAGCCTGCCAGAGGGGCTCGAAGGAGGACCGCGTGGCCCGGGGATGTGGCTCGTGGCTGGCGCCCACCTCCGCATGGGTGTTTCCTACGGAACTTCACCGAGGTGGGGAAAGCCCAGTAGGAAAGAGCTGCTCTGGTGGTTGTGGTTTTAAATCAACTGTCCGGAGTAAGTCCCCGTGGATTTAGAAAAAAGATCCACATACTATTAAGCAAGGGGAGACCCCCCAAGTACCTATTTTGCAGGCCTCCTCGACAGCTGTACTCCCACTCGGCCTCCGTGGGCAGACGCTTTCCCGCCCACGTGCAGTAGGCGACGGCATCATTCCAGGAGACGTGGAGAACCGGGTGATCCGGCCTGGGGAAGAGAGCGCAGAGTGAGGAGGGCGGAGCGGGAACAGGAAACAGGGACCGGCTCCCGCCAACCGCCCATCTCCGCCTTCACCTCAATCCGTGACGCGGAGGTGGGCCTGGTCCCCAGGTCAACGCCCCCCACCCTGCCCCACCGCACTTCTGTCTGCCTCCACCAGAGGTTTCTGACATCCCAGGCTCCCAAATAGGTTACGATCCCTCCCGGCACCAGACTCGAACCATCACTCCAGTTTGCTGGCAGGCCTGAGCCCCCCAGAGAATCTCAACTTGGTGCAGCGGGTGTGGAGATGCACCAGCCAGGTGTACCAACCAATGCTTTCTTCTGTGAGGAAAGAACGATTTTGCAGCTGCTGGACATGGTATGAGCAGAAGCTTCCAGCGCTCAGCTCCTCCAGGAGAGTTGCAAAGAGCCACCTCACAGTCACCGACGACCAACCACAGCAGGAGCATAAAGGCACCATGTGGGTTCACCCAGGGCTCAATCCTATGGGTCATTTATACCCCAGAGCCCCACCCCCACCCCACCCCCGAGGACTGGCTGGGACTTCCTGCACCTGCCCTGCAGTCTGGGCTTCTCCCTCTGCCCAATCCTGCTTCCTCCCCGTCCCTCCCACAGGTGTGGATCCCTAATAAATAGTCTGCACACCAAGCTCTATCTCAGCATCTGTTTCCGAAGAATCCAATCTGTGATACTTGGCTTTAAACTCTTGTGTCATTCTGCTGTAAATGAGTCTGCTCTATTTGCCTCACTCCAGCATATTCCAAGTAAGCCTCTATTTTTTCTAACAGTATAGCGGGGCAGGGAAGATTAGGGGGAAGTTTGAGAATAAGGGGATAAACATATTTATTCAGCACCAATAACTTTAGTTCCTGCTCACTCTTCCTCCAGTGGACTCTACATTCCTGGCCCATTTCTTAAACTTTTTTTTTTAGCTGCACTGGGTCTTTGTTGTCGTGCAAGGACTCTGTTGCTTTCTCTAGTTGTGGTGGTGCATGGGCTTCTCATTGTGGTGGCTTCTCTTGTCGTGAAACACGGTCTCAAGGGTGCACGGGCTTCAGTAGTTGTGGCATGAGACCCTAGTTGCCCTGTGGCATGTGGGATCCTACTTCTGGGATCAGGGATCAAATCCACATCCCCTGTATTGGCAGGCAGATTCTTAACTACTGGACCACCAGGGAAGTCCCTCTTAAGTATCTTTGCATTCCCTATGGTAATTACACCGTGACATTCACTTATTCTTTCCAAAGCGTCTATTGAGTACCTTTACATGCCAGTCACTGTTTTCAGCATTGATGTTTTAAGACATGTACTTTTCTCAAAAGGACTCAGTGGATAATATACATTTCACTCTGGGTCTTCCTTCTGTCCTCAGCTTTTTCTTCTACTATGATATTTCAGAAAGAAGCTATATATTGGGAGCTAAGAGGTCATCAGGGAGAAGGCAATGGTACCCCACTCCAGTGCTCTTGCCTGGAAAATCCCATGGACGGAGGAGCCTGGTGGGCTGCAGTCCATGGGGTCACTAAGAGTCGGACACGATTGAGCGACTTCACTTTCCCTTTTCACTTTCATTCATTGGAGAAGGAAATGGCAACCCACTCCAGTGTTCTTGCCTGGAGAATCCCAGGGATGGGGCAGCCTGGTGAGCTGCCGTCTATGGGGTCACACAGAGTCGGACACAACTGAAGTGACTTAGCAGCAGCAGCAGCAGCAAGAGGTCACTACCTGAGGTATCTGAGAATCCCACAACTTTCTACCTCAGAGTCTATTTCTACCCCAGGGCCTACCAACTCAAGAGTTTGAAAGAATGACATTCATCAAGGAGTTGTATCCCTAGAGCTGAACTGCATGAATTTCCGGCTCCCTCACACTGAGGGCAGTAAGCAGAAATGAAGTCGAAAACGGAGACCCGAGAATCCCATCTGAAAAACTGGGTTAGGAGAACAGTTTTCTTGGGCTGTTGAGACACTGAGTCCTGACCCAAACCTTTCTCCGCCTCCAGGGCTTAAAGTGCTACTCTATTTTTGCTTGAGATAATTATTTCTTTGCCACCCTGGAGACTTGCTGACCGACTTGCAGCTCTGTGGTTTTTCAGTCAGATGGTGGCTTCAAAGTATGTCAGTCCAGGACCGTGGAGAACATGAGTTCTATACCCAAGGCCTAGCTGTTACAGTGGCCACTTGGCAAGATACCAACTTCTCTGTGAGGCAATCTCCATCCTCATGATGGCCTACTCATGAGGAAGAACAATCTGTAAAGGTTACATGTCATGAGATTTGTAATAGGACTGTCAACAGGGGAAAGAATGACAGGAGGGGACCCTCTAAAAGGCCAAATGAGGATGACAAGAGGCCACTTATTATGAGCCTTCCAGAGACTTCCCTGGTGGTCCAGTGGTTAAGACTTCTCCTTCCAACACAGGAGGTGTGGGTTCAATCCCTGGTCAGGGAGCCAAGATCCACATGCCTGGCAGCGGAAAGATCACAACATAAAACAGAAGCAATATTGTAACAAATGCAATAAAGACTTTAAAAATGGTCCACATCAAAAAAAATAATAATTTAACAGAGTGTTCCATGACGTAGGCACAATGTTTGGGTCTGTACATTAATTCTTTCTAGTCATCCTATTTCCCTTCCAACGGATTAGAGTTCGTCATACTCTTTTATAGACAATGGACATTGAGTTTCTCTTCAACATCATAGGAACTGATTTTGAAATGAAAGTATCATCTAGGCTCAGACCCACCAGTCTCACCTGTGTAGGACAGTAGAGTCGGGCCCTTCTGGATGTCTCCAGTTAGCACCTTTCACAGGTAACCACCACGGAGCAGCTGCAACCTCAGAGCAACACAGGATAAGCTGAGGTTAGCTCTTAAAAAACAGACTTAGTCCATGCAGAATAAAAAAAAAAACAATCTCACTTAAGGTCTTCAACTTCCATGAAATTACCAAATCATTCTTCCAGAATATCAAAAATATGCATATGTAATGAAATCTAACCAAAAAAAAGCATTATCTCGGGAATTCCCTGGTGGTCCAGTAGTGAGGACTATGCTCCAGGTTCAATCCCGAGTTGGGAAACTAAGATCCAGCAAGCCACACGTGCACCCAAAACAAACAAACAAAAAGGCAGTGTTATGTGGCAGGTTAGATGGGAGGGGCTTTGGGGGAGAATGCATACATGTACATCTAAGGTTGAGTCCCTTCACTGTTCACTTTAAACTACTACAACATTGTTAATCGGCTGTACCCCAATACAACATAAAAAGTTTTTTTAGAAAAGGTATTACCTCGAATCATAAAGCACCACAGTGATTAAATAAATATGTATCTAAATGGTATATCTTTCCAAGGATCTTAAAAAGACACACTGCTAGCTAATCCTCTATAATCTCTAACAACTGGGACAGCTGGTAGCACTCTGATGTAAAAGATGAGGAAACAGCATTAATCTTACAACTTGGTGCTAGGCTGAAGGTCAACCAAGGTGGTAGGAGACCAAATACAGAGCTGGAGTGTGTCCACAAAAGATCCTGGTGAATATCCAGCCCAACATGAGCTGTGTGGCTCTGGGCAAGTCCACTGCTTGTCTGGCCCCAAAGTCCTCATCTGTGAAATAAGAGAGCCTCCCAGACTCCCACCGCAGACTCAGAGCAGGGTGACTCTAAAAGGACTGGGAAGTGCTCAGCTCACGTCCTGCTCCCAGGACCTTAACTCCCGCTTTACAGCTCTGTCAACCCATATACCAACATCAAGTGGGCCTTGTTTTGTTCATTTTCATTCATTTGTGCTTTCTCTGTTGTGTCTGACTCTTTGCAATGTCTGGACTGTAGCCCACCAGGCTCCTCTGTCCATGGAATTTTCCAGGCAAGAATACTAGAGTAGGTTGCTATTCCCTCCTCCCAACCCAGGGATCAAACCCACATTTCTTGCATCTTCTGCATGGGCAGGCAGATTCTTTACCATTGCACTACCTGGGATTGTTTAGAGATTGGTTAAAAACTTGATTTTGGAGTCAGCAAAAATGAGATTTGAATTATGACTCTGCCATGCAGAGGGTAATAACCCTTGGCAACCTCCCTACTGAACCTCCCTACATCTGTTTTCTCAATTCTAAGATGAAAATAGTAACAATGCCTATCTCAGAGATTATTACGAGGAAACCAAACATACATCCAGGGCTTAGGACTATGCCAAGCACTTAGCAAGCACTCAGTAAAGGGAAGCAGTCAACCATGGACCTCATGACAATCAAGGAGAGAGTTACCAAAAAAAATTACCATCATCAATGATGCTAATACTAAGTAAAGAACAGAAGTTTGCAAATGATTCTTCTGCTGTAAACTGGAACAGACTCAAGGTATCCCCAAGACAATGCTGCTCTCAGCCCTCTGCGTCCTGACGAGCCGGGTTGAGTGGAAGAGATGGGGGATGTGTTCCCAGCTAACAATTATAGCAATCACCGAGAACACCAAACCCTGTTCTTGTTCTTTTTCTCACATCAGCACAATCAAAACATTCACGGTATTCCAATCACAATTTGATGGGAAAAGCCAAATTCTTTTATATCTCAGTGAAAGAGGCATTATGTCCTCTGAGGACATTACTGCAGAGTGTTTTCTCTTTCAGAGAGCAGGAGAGGTGAAAGGCAGGGCTTCCTCCTCTTTCTTCTGCAGCACTGTGGAATCTTTAATCAGGGCGGGGGGTGGGGGGGTGGTTTTCTTGCTGACTACACTGCTTGATATTTGCCACCAGGGAAGCCCATTTAAGTGCCAGTGACAGGTAATTCATTCCACGTCAAGGGAAGACGTGCAGAGAAAGCTCAGGACATCTCACTCAACATTTCCAGATCTTCAGACATTACTCACCCAATTCTACCCCATTCCCAACACTAAGGTTACCAGAAGGTTCTATTTCTCAAATTAAAAAAAAAAAAGAATTTTTAAAAGGCAAATATGGCAAAATGTTAGCCTTTGTTAAATCTGGGTGGTGGAAACTAGAATGCCTATTTTTCTTATACCCTATTGTGTTTTGAAATATTCCCTCATTAGCAACTTTTTTAATGGATTTACTTATTTCTTCTACTGCTGATGGGTATTTGGCAGTTTCCAGTTTGAGCTACTGTGAATGGTGCTACTTCTGTGAACATTCTTGGTAGCTCATGACTCAGGAAATATGCAGAAGCATTCTTGCTGAGAGCACGCTGTGGAGTGGAATGGCTGGATCCCAGGGTACACACATGCACAGCATTAGTAAAGACAGCCAAACACAAGCCTTAATGCCAGAAGTCCTCCAAGGTTCCCGACCTTCTTCAGTGGGAACCTCCACGGAGTTGGCTTGTGTGGGGCAGACCTGGGGCAGGCGGCTGCCCCTGTGGCCTCTGAGTCCATTCCCTTTCTCTCTGCTTCCCCTCAACTCACTCTGGCCGCATATATTTATTGAGCGCCTACTGTCTGCCAGGTTCCCTTTTTAGGAACCTCATTCCTAAAGGAAATCTTCAACTCCCAGAATCCTGAGAGTATAACTTAAGACAGTTGGTATATTGAGAGTTTCTCAATTATTTATTGTACATATTAATACTTATCTTACATGGTTAACTACTCACTTTATCTTCTTCCAAAAATATCTGTAAAACTCAAATTGGTGGGTCCAGGTACACACATCAGTGCTATAGTTCCTACTCAATTTCTTTCCCATCATATACACACACTTTTCTCATTTTCCATATCTGCTTTCCAGTTCTCTTACTGTCATTCTTTCCCTTACATTTCTTTATAACACATCCAATACAGACCATCTCAGCACTACTGACTTACTGGGCCACATAATTCTTTGATGGAGGGGGCTGTTCCATACACTGTAGGATGCCCTGCAGCATCCCAGGCCTCTCCCCGCTAGATGCCAATAGCATCCAACTCCCCACCCAACTGTGAGAACCAAATTACGACTCAGCCAGAAAACATATTTTGAGTCACTTCTAATAGGGTGGATGAACCTAGAGCCTATTATACAGAGTGAAGTAAGTCAGAAAGGGAAAAACAAACATAATGTATTAACACAGATATATGGAATCTAAAAGGATGGCACTTATCAACCTATTTACAGGGCAGCAATAGAGACGCAGACATAGAGAACAGACTGTGGACACAGTGGGGGGAAGGAGAGAGTGGGAGGGGTAGAGAGAGTGGCCTTGAAACATACACATTACCGTATGTAAAACAGACAGCCAGTGGGAATTTGCCATGTGACACAGGGAGCTCAAACCTGGTGCTCTGTGACAACCTAGCCGGGTGGGGTGGGGTGGGAGGTGGGAGGGAGTTTCAAGAGGGAGGGGCCGTATGTATGTATGGCTGACTCATGTTGATGTATGACAGAAACCAACACAACATTGTAAAGCAATTATCCTCCAACTAAAAAACAAATAAATTTTAAAAAGAGATAAAACAAATAAAAAAACTGTCTCCACATTCAAGAAGCCCCAAACTAGACAAAGCTTGGGGACCTATGAGAGGAACATATGACACCCCCGCCTATGAGAAAGACTGTAACTCTACACCACAATGGTCAGAGGCAGAGTCAGGAACCACTTCTGCACCAGACACATGAAGAAGAAAAGATAAGCATCAGAGTCACCCACAACAGAGGACTTAGCTTACAGGTAGTACATCACTCATCTTAGCCAAGTTGGACTGGGAAAGACATCCTTTCTAGACAAACATACAACAAATCCCATCCGATGTCACCAGATAACTTCTTCCAAATATCATTGTTAAGCATATTTTAAAAGACCTGTTCTTGAACTCCTGGTCATGTCTTGAAAATAAATGCTATTCTACTATGTTTAGTAACTTATGAAATAAGCAACTTTTTCTGCTGCTGCTGCTAAGTCACTTCAGTCGTGTCTGACTCTGTGCGACCCCATAGATGGCAGCTCACCAGGCTCCCCTGTCCCTGGGATTCTCCAGGCAAGAACACTGGAGTGGGTTGCCATTTCCTTCTCCAATGCATGAAAGTGAAAAGTGAAAGTGAAGTTGCTCAGTTGTGTCCGACTCTGTGCAACCCCATAGACGGCAGCCCACCAGGCTCCTCCGTCCATAGGATTTTCCAGGCAAGAGTACTGGAGTGGGGTGCCATTGCCTTCTCCAAGCAACTTTTGAGAGTCATACATAAGCCAGTTAAACAAGGTTACACTGCAAATTGTAACATCTATGATTCCTTTTAACAGGAAGAGTCTTCCGATGTGTTCTTTCCAGAGTCACAGCAACAACATGAGTGGTCTGGCATCTGTGATAAGCCTCATCCTACAAAGAGAAACTGTGGGGGATGGAAAATCTACATATTTTCTGTTCAACTGAGACACTTCTAGTTGAGTTACAGCACTCCCTTACATCCAGGGAGAAAAGGACTTTACTTGACCTATTTCTAGTCAAACCATCTCCATAGCAACTGTCTTGGGTTTAAGTTGAAACAGCTGTACCAGACAGCCAGCAACCAATCACAATGTAAATAGGATCCGTGTGAGTGCTGACGTCCCCTGGAGACATGGGCTTCAGAGGGCAAAGACAGCTTTTCCCACCTCTCCCTAGGGACACAGACAGACTTGTAGTAACAGCTTAAAGAACAGAAAAGAAAAGGGAGAAGACAGCGATGGTGCCTTATTTTTGCCAGAAGGGGTAAATTATGCTTCTTATACACACACAGCCCAGAATAAAGTCGGCGCAGGAAAAAGACAAAGCACTGTGTTAATATGCACATTCAAGTGTAAAAATGTCAAGTTCACAACTTTACAACTGTTCTCTTAAAAATTAAATGCATTTAGACCAGCAAATTAAAAAGAT